ATTATAGTTATAAGAATAATATTTTTTTTTAATATTTGTGAATAACTTAGCGTGACGAAAGTGTTTGATAAAGCGGACGGGTTTTAGGTTTGATTTCGTTTAAAATGCAATACTTTTACTATTACAAAACAAAAACTGTTTAGTGCAAGTAAGCTTATTGTAAACTACATTGAAATTGTGAATGCAGGAAAAAATATGTTTTTCTTATCAAAGTATTATCATATCGAAATATGCGAAATATATGTATATATATTTGTTTTGGTAAAATAAATGCATTTTTGTTGAAAAAATAAAATAAAAAATTTGGAAAAAAAAATTCAAATTCAAAAAAATTTCAAACAATTTTTTTTTTTGGTAAAAAGTATTTTTTTTTACTAGTACTTGGCTTGCATATATGTATGTATATACATATGTTTGCTTTTTAGTAAAAACATATTTTTTCTTCATTAGCAAAAAAAAATTTCCGCAGAAAAAGTTTTAAATTTTACATAAATTTAAAAGCTATTAAAAGGAAAGCATAGATTTATCAATTCTTCGCTCAATTTCACAGCTAATTACTGCACAAACAGTATAATTAGCTGTGATACAATCGTACTGCTGTCATTTGTTGGATTGTGAAAAAAGTTTATGAATTTTTTTAACACTTTTCTGGATTTTTAGTTCCAGACTCAACATATCAACTGCTGGCACCCATTAATCAAACAAAAAACACACAAATATACACACGCACTACTGAGGCGAGACGTCATTGTAAATTAATGTAGCATACATTTAGGGTGCATTATTAAAGGCAAATACCACAGCGTAAAAATGATTTGCACACACACATAAATACATACATATTACATTGCTGTATTTATTTGACCACAAAAACACACTGCAACACCTATTGCCACACACCCGGTTAGGTATTACCGTTAAATGAGCATATTAATATTAATTAAGTCGCACTTTTAACGCTTGCATTATTAAAATAAATGAGTTTCGGTTTGTCAGACATTTTTAGGCTGCACATATGTACATATATATTCATTAATATTATTATTGTAAATTTTTGGCAGCATTTTGTCAAATTTGATTTCAGCTGCTAATTGCTACGAAATTGTTGGATTATTGAAATTCCATAAGCGTATGACACCCAAATGACTATAATTGTGAGTCTGTGAATGTGTGTGTATGCGCTTGTGGCTGACTTGCATATAATTTTATAGGCCAGCATATTTATTTAATTAAATTACCGTTATTTGTCCTGGCATTATTTTTGCATTTTGCATGCGCTTTTAATGCGCCAAATTCTCGCAGCTTAAATGCCCAATATTTGCACTAAATAGTTACATTTAATTAATTGCATTGAAAGTGCTTTAAAATTTATGAAATAGCGAGTTGTGTGGGGATTAAAAATATTTGAGTTAAAATTGATGTCAATAACTTAAATACAGGTACTTTTGCATAAATGTATGTACGTATGTGTATTAAAAAATTTACTATTTTCTTTTAATTAAAAAAAAAAA